GTTGAAAAGATAACTCAAAGGGTTACAAATCTTCCAGAAATATAATATTTCCAATTCGAACATTTCCTATGCCAAAAATGGGTATCAAACTGAGACTGAAATCCGAAGTATAACTTTTTCGGCTGAAAATTGATTTGTGATAGTACTTGAATTATATTTCATTCCTTTGACTTCTTTTCTCATCCAATTGATGTATAACACTCTCAAATCTTCATCGCGAGGTTTGACGTAACTTTTGAATATTTGCATTTCAGTCCCTAAACTTTGTATTTCTTTCATTTTAGTCATTTTTCCACTTGTTTATTCTAAATTCCACCACATTCATCAATGTTGTCTGTCAAAACGTAAATTACATATAATTAAGTTAGATTCCAACACATTAATCAATAATTGTCCATATTTTGTGATCAAAATAAGTGTAAAAAACACACTTATCATTATTGAATTTGTGCAAGTATGCATTACAAAACATGAGAGACAATGGTTGGGATAATTTGCTGAGTAGGGTGATTGAGTTTTGTTTTAGTAGACATATTTTAGTGTCCAATACGGAGGATATTATAGTATTGAGAGGTCGACCTAGGAGTACAGCTTAGCAGGTGACTTATTATCATCGCTTTTATGTTGATTTGTATTGTCGTATAATAGACTCAATCTTGCAAGAGTTGAATGATCGTTTTCCAGAGACAACTATTGAGTTCCTTACTTGCATTTCGTGTTTAAGTCCAAAATGGGAAATGACGGTTAAATGACAATTTGGTAATTTACATAGAGAAAAAGATTTTTGGAAAAATTGAGAATGAGGCAATATTACAACGTTTTCAAAATATGAGACTCAATAAAATGCAGTTGTCTAAATTTATAGTCACAGAGTAAAGTTTTATCGTGTATTTTCTTAGTATTTTGGGTTGTATTGAATTATATTCTCATATGTATATAATTTTTACGTTTTAATGTATTTACATATATATTGAATAATTTTTAATATGATTTAATTAAATATTAATAAACGACCTCGCTATTATGATCGTTGATGGTCGACGTCTCGACGATCAACGATCAATAGTAAAGATCCGCCCTAACTGAACGTAAAACTTGGATTCGCCACTGATAATGTGTATTATTATTATTTTTTTAAATAAAGTTAATATTCTTGAGAAGGCCCCTTCAAACTTTTTTGCCTATGACTCCAAAGTTGGTTGAACCGACTCTACAAAACGATTGTTGATTGTCGACAGCCAACGGTCAATGGTAAAAGTCCGCCCTAACTGAACGTAAAACCTGGATTCGACATTATCGTATTATTATTTTTTTTTAAAAAATAAAGTTAATATTCTTGAGAAGGCTCTTTCAAACTTTTTTGCCTATGACTCCAAAGTTGGTTGAACCGACTCTACAAACAATTAGAGGGTGTTTGGTGTAGATTAAAATTAGATTTTAATTGGATTGTGATAGAAGTTTTTTAAATGTATGGTTGAAAAGATGTAGGACTCATGAAAGATGTGGTTGATATTGATTGGTTGACTTTGACTTAAATTAAAATTTGGTACAAACAGGCCCTTAGTGTACTACCTCGATTTTTCTTGCATACTAAGCATGCTCTAGGAAGATTGTTTCCAAGTCACCCCGATCCTCGCAAGACACATGGTTGCTGGTCCTCCTCCGCCCCCTAATTATTATTTAAGATGAAAAGTCTGAATAAATATACACCCGTCTTTGTCAATGTCCTGTGAAATGTGAACCCATTTTCCCGTTTCCTATTATTTTTCGTCCTACCTTAAAATGTCATTTAAATTTTTCTTATGGTTTGAAAACATTTGCAATTTTAGCTAAAATATAAGAAAAAAGAAATGGATCAACGTGTAAAATTATTTTATAGAGAAAATGAATTCGGAAAAAAATAATTTGTACCGAATAAACTCTAAAAATAGAAAAATTCTGAATCGCAAAGATAAAAAATATCTCCAGAAAAGGACAACAATGTCCGATAACGGGAGGAAAGGAAAATACATATAAAATCGATAGAATTTCATACGAATTTAAGAATTTGTTAGGTATGGGAAGCAGGATTTGCGTGGCACTCCAATTTTGACTAAATCAACATCAGCCACCCATTTCACACTTGGTATTTTTGATGGCCATTATTTTTAGAAAATAAAATTTTATATAATAATTATTTAAAGACCACGTGAATAAAAAGTATAAAAAGAATTTAGATTCACATGTAAAATATTTTATTTTTTAAATATATGATTGAAAATTAAAAAAAAAAAATTGAAATAATAATTGTCAAACATGCTCTAGTTGATTTGTCATCAATAGTAACAAACTTACTTCCTAATAATGATGTTAAGGTTAAAGATGTTCATTTTTGTATGTTCATTTTTTATAATGCTGTCAGTAACTAGGAAACGTCATAGAAATTAAAGTGAGTGGACATTTCTGACGAAATTTATGCATATTTAATATTTTTATTTATAAAGTAACACTGTATAACATATTCGTCTTTTATATATACACAACATAATTCCAATATTAAGAGAGTTTCACTAAGTATCTTCAACTCCACTTTAGACAAATATTAACTTATAAATTTGTTTCATATCGAAATCTCAAGAAAATATTTAAATATTACACGTCTTTTAATATAATAAAGATTTTTGACGTTAACTATTTAACAGAGATATGCTACGAGTACATGAAATTCAACAGGAAGACGTCATCCTGTTGAATTCTCCTGTACATGCAGACTTTTTGCTATTAACATATCCTCGTTTAGAAGCTTTTTTAGTCAAACAGAATATTTTCGAAAATTTATTCAAACAATCAACTTCTTAATTTAGAGATAATTTTTGATCTTTTTAAAAGCCTTGTTTAAACATGTGATATCCCTGAAAAACACTAGTTTGAATTATGGGGAGATTTAGCTAAAGTTAATGTATTCATACCAACGGAATTTAATTTCTTGCAATTCACACACAACAAAATCTCAAATCATTTTCAATGTGTCCTTTCCATAGCCTTTTCCCACTTTATTATAGCTTTAGCTTCTTTAGTTGCCAAATTAATTTCATCCGCACAACTTATTCACAAATTTATAGATAATATTTAATTTAAAATTTAAAGAAATAATATGTACAAACGTATCGAGTGGGCTAGATTCTAATTAATTATTCGGATTCGAAGGAATTGTTGTAGAAGGTATAAGACGTGACGAAATATGAACAATTACATATTTCTCAAAATTATAAATTCTCAATTAAATAAAAGCTGCACTTTTTTTTTTTTTTTTGGGTATGCATTTTCTCTATGCCTACCCTAGGAGGACATTTTAGAACACAATTAAAGGAGCAATCATCAAACTTACCCATTGAAAATCAGATTTGGCATTATACGACCAAAGATTACCCAAATCAAGAATAAAGGGCAAAAAAATAGTGGCAATGTCAACACGTAATTGTAGACTTTAAGAAAATTACATGGCGCGTGTATACTATTAGTCAATGAGATCGTGAAGGACTTTGCTTTGTAGTGCAAAAGTTGATACTGCTGTCTAAAAAAATCCTGCTGGTTTTGCCAGAACCTTGGGCGGGCATGCCGGCTTTGGTTTGAGTATTCAACGATATTGTCTATTTCTTATTTTGGTTGTAAAAGCGTGCACCACAAGCAGGAAGCAATTTATAAAGCCGCCACGTCACACGCGCGCACATAGCTCTCTTCTTCTCGCGCAATATTGAAATTGAGAGTGGAGTAGAGGAGAATATGCCGACAATTGAATCTACCAATTGTTTGCTTCTAGGAGAAGCTGACTTATGTTGCATAGGCCATAGAATACGCTGGTTTGACCCCCCCATTAATTGATGTTATAATATTTGAAATAATATTTTTTTGGAAAATGTATGATTAAAAATAAAAGATTTTTTATTATTATTTATGTGTAATATTATTTTATTGAAAAATATGTGATTAAAAACAAGAAATAGAAAAATATATTATAAATTTAATGGGGGCAAAACGGGGATGTCAATCATGCTTGGTGTACATCCTTGTTTACACGTGATATTATCTCATTGACAATTTTAAAAAAATATAATTTTTTTATTTTTGAAATACAATGCATGTGTCAATAAGTGTGTACAAATGACAAAGTCTATAGAATATCTGTTTTTTCAGTCTTTTTTTTTTAATTAAAGATTAAAAGGCGAGGACCAACCCTAACGATACCAAACCAACTAGCTTTGCTCGGACAAATTAAGCCTCCGTTTGGTAACCATTTTTCTACAAAAAAAATGCATTATTTGTGTCAAATCACACCTTTTTTGTGTCTATTTTCAGTCATGGACCCCACTTGATGTGAAAGAAAAATGTATTATTTGAAAAAAATATAGCTCCCAAACGGAGCCTAAGTATCATATGGTCGTATAGTTCTAAGCACAATCGAAAGTTAGCCACCACAAGAAGTAAAAAAAGCAATTATATCATGTCCACCATATGGATTTCCTTTTCCATGATTAAACAATTTCAATTATTACTTATCTCCTTAAAAACTTGAAATACAAATTTCCTTTTCCTATCTATTTGTAGTACAATATAAACTGTCCCATTGCCCCAAAAATTGAAACAAATCTACCACAATATTACGAATAATTATATTATTATAACGCCTGTCATTTTATATCCATAATACGACAATACGAGTCGGAAAGAACCTGTTACATACGAGTCGAAAAGAAACTGTTAATACACTAAACAATGCCGCCATCAAACAAATCCCATTTGCCACGTAACCAGTTTGGTCCCACCTCCCCGTGGGGCGGCTATCTTTTATCAGTCAAGGCCAACCCTGACTGTTACCACCCTACGCTCACCTCTATATATTTATCCGCCTCCATAACCTAACCTTTCAACAAAACAATTCTTCATATAAATATTATAATTCGATCATGTATGCTTACATTCAGTGATATTTATAGGTGTATACATACATAGATTCATACACGATGGCGCCGAGGGAGAAAGCGGTGGCAGCGGAGAAAGTGGGTGGTGGGATAAAAGAGGGGCATTTTCGTGGGGTGAGGAAAAGACCGTGGGGGAGATATGCGGCGGAAATAAGGGATCCTGGGAAAAAGAGCCGTGTCTGGTTGGGAACCTTTGACACGGCCGAGGAGGCAGCTAGAGCATACGACAACGCCGCTAGGCAATTCCGCGGCGCCAAGGCAAAGACAAATTTCCCATCTCCGGATCTGAACATGAATGCTGAGAATCTCAAGAAAAGCAAGGATTTTCATGGGAGTAAGAAAACTATCCAAAGCCGGAGTCCCAGCCAGAGCAGCACCGTCGAATCGGCCGGCCATGATAACTCGCCGGCGGTGATGGATTCCTCTCCCTTGGACCTCACTCTGGGTGGATCCAGGAAGTTTCCCTTTCAGAACCATGATTACTTTGGCCCTTCACCGATGCCCGGTCAACTCACCGGAAGGTTTGTTGGAATTTTGCCGGTGCAATCCCAGATGCTCTACCTTAACGCCTTGTCGAAGCAAGAAATGGTCAACCATGTTAATGGCCACCGGCTTATGACTATGGATTTCCTTAAAGGAGGCAACGCGGCTGGATTCGAAAGCGAATCCGACTCATCAGCTGTTGTCGATGTGAAACCTAACTATGGTCTTGGTCTTGGTCTTGGTCTTGGTCTCGATCTCAACTTCCCACCACCACCCGAGAATATCTAACTACCGTCCCGGAACTGATTCCCTTTTTGTTTACTTGATTAGTTCCGTTTTTCGTTTTTATGTTTGTTTTGCTGAAGTATTACGACTGAAGCTTCCGCTGAAATTAATTATTTTTTGAAGCTAAGAAAACTCGATGGGTTTTCTGGTTGTTGTTCTTTCACCGGAGGCTTTATCTATTTCAGATCCTGTAATTTCTTATGTTCTTAGCTTACATTACTAGTTTTATTCAGTTTCTCTAAATTTCTCTTCATTTTTCAGAATTGTGTTAATTTTTTTGTTATTTATTTCTGATCGGAATCAGCGGTGAGGGAGGGGGAGCTTTTTCTACTACGGTGGCGCGTGTGGTCATGCACGCACCGATAATACCCCTTTTGGAGCTAGAACTTTGATATGTGCACACATGGCAAATACCTATTACTTTCGTCTATACTTTTAGATTTAAAAAAAAAAAAAAAATTTAATGTCGTTACAAAAGGCACGAGCAGAAAGTAAAGGATTAAAATAGCAGTGGAAGTCCCAGACCTTTCACGAGGATGAGCAGTTGGATTACCAACTAAATTTTTTTGGCGGACATCCCAATTCGTCACAACTCGTATTTCGATGGAAAGGTGACCAATAGAAGCATTGATTTTTTTACTGGAAATTTTAAAGAACTGGAACTCAATTTCTCCAACCACCAATTTGTCATTCAAGGACTTGTTGGAGCCTGATTGCTCTGTTTAATAGTTTGGGGACTCGATTGCAGCTTGTGTAAAAATTGTGAACCTCTCTGCTATTTAGCCCAAAGTAATTCCGTACAATTTGCACATTAATACTTGTTTGAAAGGATTTATTAGACAGAAAAAATATTTCATAAAGTACCTTTAGATTATTTAACGTAAAATGTTTGGATGTTGAATAATTGCAAGGTGGCTGTCATATTTGATTAAGACAGGATTATTGTCTTAAACATGAATAATCATGTAAGGATCGAAATTGCGTTTGTAGCCACCCATTATAAAATGGGCTCATTTTAGGGGCATGGCAGTTAATTGGTGTGGTTATGGCTAGGCAATGATTGATTTGAAATTGTGACCTAACAGACATTTTGCGCCTCAGAATCATATCGACTAGGTGATATTCGTGTTCTTGATTAGTTGATAAACTGTTTTATGTTTTTGCATCGTATGTTTCTGATTTTGAACTCGGTGAAATAATAATCGTCGTAGATTAAAGTTATTGTAAGTCAAGCTACCATCATATAATCGAAGATTTGATTCGACATGTTTTGTGTACACGATTACAAGAAATATAACATAAAAATAATAAAAGCAAAGGCAAGCTATAAAATAAGAAAAGTTGGTACTTATACATAAAGCTAGTTTTTATAGTGCGTTTGGTGGATGGATTATTGGGTAATTGAAAAACAAAGCAATAGGAAATTTGGGAATATTTGCTCTTTGGTTTGTTTTCCTTCTTGAGCAAATCTTTTGCCTTGCTTTATTTGGCAAGAGAGATGGAAATAAGGGAGAAGTAATTCGACTACGGGTTGTTTGGCGGTGCTTTTGATAAGTCAAAAGCTATTTTTGACAGTAAAAAAATATTTTTTTAATATATTTAAACATCTTTCTATAAATGTTCCTGTATTTTTAGGAAATTTTTTTTAAAAAGATGACCTATTTTGGATTATGAGAAAGCTTCTCACAAATAGCATAAGCCCTCCGAACGTGCTCGAATTTTATTGATTCAGATTTACTTCCTTTTCCATGAAGATTAATAATTTCTTGTAAACTTATTTTCATGTGGATTAACTTGCAAATTGAGTAATAGATTGGGGACAAACAGTGAAACACCGAACGATATGGTTAATCCGTTCAATTTTCTATGTGGAGTGCCAAGGGATAAGACATGTGTTGACTGATGTAGTCATAATTAATCCATATGCATTCACACGGCCGCCCTCATTTTTTAAATTGATTGCCGAAAAGTAGGTTAGCAGACAGCAGATGGACCCCACTTTGACCATGAGAAAACGCGGCTGCCGCTTTTGCTGGGTCCCTGTACAAACCGCAGCTGCTCCCTTAATTGGTCACCAAGATAAAAGGAGAATCAATAATTTAACGGTAATTCATTTTCCCTTTATTGGGAAAAGTAAATAATGACGTCATAACTTCTCCGCACTTTGTACATGATTTAATTGTGTCCCCCTAATCTAAAATGTCTGCGTCCGCCCCTGAGTATCTACTTGGGTCCAAAATGTGCCGGTGTATGGACTAGCTCGTCTTAACTGGTGGATGGTCGAGTTTAATGGTTGAGGCTTGGAGGTTAAATGTTTGAAATAAAGAAACATTTCACATGGTCATTTTTTTTCCTCAAGACATGAAGCGAACGTGTAGATTTATACAACGCAATGACTATTTTTGCAAATATATAGTTAATCAAAGGTGTCGATTAGTGTGAAAAATATATTTATCGTTTAATAATGCAGTGAGTTACTCAGAGATTCAACATTGTATACACGTCAAGCTAATTTATATATAAATTCTATACAAATATATATGCTATCTAGCTTTAACGGTGTTTAGCAACAATTTAAATGATAGACGATGGCAGATTTAGGGTGGGGTATGGTGGGTCGCTTGCCCCGCCAATTTTTTAACTTTTTTGTTTTAATTAGAAATATAATACATTGGTCAAAGTAGGAAAAAAATTGGAATTGTGAATTGATGTTATGGTTATACTGTTTACATGATTTTGATATGGACACACTGTCTAATTATTCAAATATTTTAAACCAGTTAAGAGTGTTTAATATTTTTTTTAATTTTATGTTAAAATTTAATATCATTAAAATAAAAGTGATAGGTTCATGTTGTTACAACTTTGATTAATACTGAAAGTTCAAATTGTATTTGATTGATTTGTATATCTTTCTGCAAAGTGCTTAGATGGCTTGCGTTAAAAATTTAGCTTTTGCTTGGCAAATTTATAAATAGTTTATAAAGAGGAGGATGATGTAATAGTGTCGCGAGTTATATTAGACATAAGAACACGTAATTAGGCTCCTCCAAGTATACAAATCCTGCCTTAAAGTATATACTGATTTGCTATTATATGCCTCATTTGTATTCTATAACTCATCATTCGTTTGTCTACTGAAAATTTAATGCCCATTTTTTTCTTTAACATCTCAATCAATTGAACCCGAGAACAAGTCAACATAAAAATGTAGTACTGAAAAACAAGTTTAATCCTTCTTTGATTGTGGGTGTAAGGATTTTCAAAGAATTTGTCTCGATCAAGCACCTAAAAAGTGAAGCCACGTTTGATAAGATCATTTTGTTTGATTAGATGTTTGTCCTCGAGGACATAATTTATGTCATATTAATATGTCTTGACATTTTGCAATGTTTTTTTACCCTTATACACGGCGTGAGTCGCATAAAAAACTCAAGACACCGCTTTTCCTTATAAATACTACCCAAGTACTCATGGCAATTCCGTAAATATATGATATAGAATGGACAAAGTTGATAATTATTATACTATGTTTGCATTTGTATTTTAAAGTTATTGTCGGTAAGAAATTATATATATATGTTTTATCAACTTGTTCAATTTGAGAATTCGGTTGTGCCTAAACTCAAAATGTTTGCGTTCACGTTGATGGGAGAAAGTGAATAATATAATCTTTTATATCTCATTTTAAGAAAACAAAAGATAAAAATGACCCCACAGTTTTAATTAACATTTGATTAAGTTGATTTAAAAAGTCTAATTGTTAGAGTGTCACTCTCGTTTCTTCCCAACTTTGCCTTCTGTCTTGCGTTGTAATCTATTAGATAGGGGCGGCGGATGCAAAATCTAAAAGAATCTGTGACTTTTTCTCTGGCTGCAACACCTGTTTACGGGTACAGCTGACGCTTCACTGTAAACACAGAGAGTTTTTTTTTTTTTTGGCCTTTTTTTGAGATTTTTGGACGTATCCTAGACTTTTTTTCTTTTTCCAAATCCTTAACAGCCGAAAATTTTTCCTCATCTTTTTCGTCTTTTCTGGGCGTTTTATTAATTTTTTTATTTTTTTTAAATATTTTATTTGACTTTAACTTATTAATTATTTTTTTTAAAAAACTTCTCATCAAACTTTAATTTCAAGTTTTTAAAAGCTTTTATCTATACAAAAGTTAAAAATAATTTTACTCGATAAAAATTTAAATAAGATTAAGTTACTGTGCTATATATATAATTACAATCTCGAGACTTATTATTTTGTCGAAAACTTCGAAAGTATGTATGAAATACCTATAAATATATTAAGTGAAAATTGAAACTATGGAAAAATAGTCTATTTCTGCATTTTGAAAATATGAAAATTGTATAATTGACTAATTATAAGAATCATTAAGTAAATATAATATTTTATAATTTTAAATGTTTGATATATGTTATTTTAATTATTAAATAAATTTTAAAATAATATTAAAAATAAAAAACGTTTTTTACTCCTAGACTCGCTTAAACTCGTAAAATTTGAAGTTTCGTCTCCACGCTTTATACATTTTAGAACACTGGTAAATACATTGTCAATGCTCCATTTAATTGTCTTTATACAAATTTCATAATTATATAGTGCTTGTTTGGATTTTATTATAATTTAGATATTAAAATTAAATTCAAATTTTAATTATTGAATTTCGTATAATTCATAATTATTACTCACTATTTATCATTCATTTTTATTCCAATTTCATTCTCGCTAACTCTAACGTCCACTAAAATCAATTCTATTTGACGTCAACTAATACTCATCTTACTTGATTAATTAAATAAAAATATGATGAATTTCCAGATAGTTGCAAGTTGTAAATTGTTATTTTCAATTAAATTTGTGAATTTGGAAATTTATATCTGATATAGCAAAAAAATTGTCCAATCCGAGGATCGCATACTCGAGGTTGAATATTGGTCATTTCACGTGAAGTTTACTTGACCACCTCGTATATTAACCTTTTGGGGCAAAC